CGGGGAAAACTGATTATAAAAAAAACCGCTGTCACTTTTATACAATTTATTCTAGTGTGAAAGCTAATAAGGAAAAGGTTTCTCCCCACGTCTCAGAGAACACAGGATCAGAACAGATTAGGCCTGGACATAAATGCTTACATGATCCGATTGCTTGTGTGCAAGTTCAAATAGAAGAGTAACTACCAAATGGATTTAATTACAGGCCCGATGGAACTACACCAGGACATTGATGAACTACTTCATCAAGAAAGTCTCATTTAATCCTGCCCAGTAGAGGAGGAAACCGCAGTACACAATTTATTCTAGTGTGAAAGCTAATAAGGAAAAGGTTTCTCCCCACGTCTCAGAGAACAAAGAATCAGAACAGATTAGGCCATGCCATAAATGCTTACAAAATCCGATTACTAGTGTGCAAGTTCAAATAGAAAAGAACTGCCAAATGGATTAAATTAAAGACCCGATAACTAACTGGAACTACACCAGGACATTGATGAACCACTTCATCAAGCAAGTCTCATTTAATCTCAGGATTACTGAAGCGCGCTGCCGACTAAATAGGCATGACAGGCCCTGCCCAGTAGAGAAGGAAACTGCAATTCAAATATGGCTCCTTTTCAAGAGCAAAGAAAGGCCTAATGTTACAATTATAACTGAGAGGTACAAAGAAAGCTATGGTCACCGTGTGCACAACCCACATGTCAATGGACGTACGTGAAGAATCGCAGAAAACAATTTTAAATGTCTACAAATTGACTTTTTTTTCCCTTGAAGACCGACTCATTCCTAACATTGCCAAGGACTGTGATGAAGTCAAATTTAGTTCCGTGTCTGTCTGTGGTCAATTGTACCAGCAAAACTCGATACTACACCGATTTTGATTAAATTTACAGGTTGGTTTTCGGATATCATCTCAATCGTTGATACGATGTATGGTCGCATGCAGAAACGTACACAGCTATATCTCTGAAACCATTTGTTTTTATGCAATTTTCAAGGATTATGCGGGTTGCTTTCTAGATGATCGCCCATGAATTTTTTGCCCCCTACCCAATTGTTAGGTTTTTTCAGTGCGAATTGGTAAAAAGCAAATATAAAAGACTGTATGTTTAATGAACTAAACGGACCACAAACATCGTGTTTTGTAAAGGAAGTGATATAAGGAGAATTAGAACATGACTGGTAGGGTATCTAATTGATGGGGCCGAACGATTAGACGAAGGATAGGGTCGACTCCCCGGGCTTGTAATTGCTTTATATCTGAAGCTTCGGCCTATTAGTGAGATAGAAGGACTTTGCCAAGTGTAATAATAAGAGGAAAGCACCTCCCTAATGAGGGTAGGTGTATCTTCCTAATCCGGCCCGTACTATCCACAGTGTCGGCCACATCCAAAGAGGCAATAAGCTATCCTGAAAGGTGCCATCACCTTCAAAACGGGCTTTTTCCTTCTTAATGAAATCGATTCGGCATAAACGCGTTCAATCGGTAGAAGAAAGTTTACTAACTTGTTATTATGTTACTTTCAATCAAGGAACTCTTTTGTTAATAAAAATAAATGAATAAATTAGTATAACAATAAAAATTGTTCTGATGACAGTGATATAACCTCGCATAGACACCGTTTGCTTCAGGACCATCCATTTCTTTCCTTTTTATCTGTTGTCACACTGGTCTATAATTAAATATTAAAAGTATTGTTTCCGCAGTGAAATCTGTAAATCAAAGCTATGTACTGGCAAAATAACCGTTCTACCTAGCTCAAACATCAATTGTACAATCCGTCCTCAGGCTTGTACCCCTGCGACAGTTCAACAAATGTCTATAACAAAACGGCACAAGCACTACTAGCCGAATTCACAGCCACCTTGGAGGTTTGATTTATGGATTAATAAAGATTTCAGTGGTTATGACCTAGTCCTAGCCTTTAAGATATATACCTAGAGTACATCGGTGCCCCAATTCGGCTACGCTGATACGCCAGTTGCAACGGTTGTATTCAATCATGGTTGTGGTAGCAGTTTAAAAACACTGGAGCATCACAGTCTTACAAGGTATGTTAAACTGCTTGTTTACAGAATGCACGCCGTTTTGGTTCATGCTTACCTATCTCGGATTCCCATTATGTCAAGATACTCGTTAAAACCTGATTATTTTCTTGCTTTCTGTGATGCAAGCAGATTTTCCTTTCAAACCTTGCGAGAAGATTTTTCGATTGTTCCCGTTACCCATCATTTTTGGAGCAGCTATTTCAGTTAAATACTTGGTGGTTTTTGATTTTGGTCCTCTTGTGCGACGACGATCCTTGGTTGAGACTTTCTTTGCTGTTGGGTAGAAACCTTCTTATTAGGCCTTCGCAGTACCATTATAACATGTACTTCCGTTTCCTCTTTTGTTGACAGGGGCAGTAGTCTGACTTTAGTCGGCAATGACTAGTTATCATATTATTGAAGATTATCAGTCCATTTCTGCTTCCTCTGATGCTCTCTATTCTTGCAGGGCGACTTTTGAATTATTTCTGTTGCTTACTATCCATCTTTTTTGTAACTGCTATTATTCCTACTATCCTTAAAAGTATTCTAGGTCGTGTCCAATCATTTTGGTCTGTCTGCTCTTCATATACGACAACAGGTTTGGCTTTAACATCTTCAGTGGTGAGAAGGTGCAATCTGAAGGAGCGAAGTCATGATTACACTATGTGCACGGTTGCCGCTCGACTCAACGAAGTCTCAAACTACACCACTGTTAACGCGGTGGACCGTATAAAATTTGAAGATTCCAAAAGGAATCGGAGAGCCAAAAATAAAAAAAAATAAAATAAAATTCAAATGTTGGATGACTTACCTCGTCCTCCTTGTTGTCAAACCGTGGACTTTTGACGAAGTTAAGGGGGGGGGGGCGAAATGGAGTTGGACGGGAGTTCGAGGATGGATACCCTGTCTCTTCCAACGGATTCTCTACTCGAGCGATACACGACATAAATAGGTAACAAACTCAATTGGAACGACGATTGAAATAGCGAGGCGAAGTACACATTATCAATTACAAACGATGACCAATACGAACAAAGAAAATAAATAGCGAACTTTCAATCAATCAATCTTTAGGTAAGGTATTGGTTGAAATAAAAAAGTTAGTGCCACAAGCGGGATTCGAACCCACGACCTTCGGCTAAATACGCCGCTGCTCTACCACTTGAGCTATCGTGACCTCGATCCACTCAGACACCAACCTCCCATCTCACAACCAACCTTTCGAATTTTCCCTCCTTTTTGCCAACAAATAAATAGCGAACCCTGAACCGGTTTCGCGGTAGGTCTAATCTTTCGGCGTAAAAGACCACTGACAGTTCATCATTAACGAAGTCCTCGAATGTTTGAGTGCAGGCAGCCAGTAAATGACCCAGTGCCGGTTCCACATTTATACGCTACTGAACAACGCGAATAACCGAAATTCATCCTACCGACGAAAACAGCGATGACGGACTCGCATGTAGGACCGGAAACAGGACAAGCTAAAGGTCCATCATCATTTTCCCTCAGCCCCATGGTAGTAACACTGTGGGCAATACTGATTTCTGGAAATGCAGTTTTTTCCCATCCACCATACAGCCATACCTGAGGGAGACCTGCGGACCTCGGCCTCTAAATTGACCTATTTTCTTGTAGGGGGGAAAAATGGAAGCTTAAAGCCTTCCTTATGCCTCGGTCTAAACGAGGGGAACGAGGAAGGTTAGTGATATATATTTTTTCTCTCTGTATTAATTAAACTGACCTAATCTAATAGGTCTCCCCCTTGCTGGTTACTCCTTTAAGTAAAATAATAAACATTTAAGCATTTAAAAACAATCACAGTCTTACGTACTGTATAACAATGTTAACCTAATTTTAAAGAAGTACCCATCCCGAATTATCTGAACTGAAGTTATACACTTAAATATATCACAGTTTAATCACACGGTATGGTTTAGAAAGTTTATTCAGGTACTTGGTTTACTACCCGCTAGGATGCTCTGTGTAAACTGTTTGAACACTTGATACGTTCGTTCGCTTTTTACAAGTTCCTTCAATTCTGGAGGCCGTATATTGTGAAAACTGTTGTGAAGGTCTTGACGAAGGTGTTCAAAGTTTGGGCATAAGAATAGCTTGTGTCGTACGTCTTCAGGAACATGGCATAACCGGCAGTTTGGGGTATTAGCTCTTTTGAATTTGTGCAGATAAACTGCAAAGTTTCCTTACCCCGTAAGCATTTGTGTGAACCAAAAATCTGGTTGCACCCAACTCTGCTTTTTTTCTTTCTTTAATGATGGGAAAAAACCACTGCACTTGACACTATTTTCTCGTATGCTTTGCCAGGTGTCGGTTGCCTATTCGTTGAGAAAAGTTTGGCGCTGGCTGTTGGGGGCATTCTTAGCCGATTCGTTTCCTGTTCCTCTTGCTGGGTAGACCTCGTCCCTTCTTCAGCTCTCTCTTTGCAATGTGGACTTTTATGACCAATTCAATGGGTGTTGCTGTCATTAACACTTGCAGAGCGTGAGTGGAAGCCGTTCTGCACCCTTCGATGTCCTCGAAGTTTATATATGTTCAAGTTTTTCGAATTGCATTTAATTTTTTTTTCATTCGAAATAATTGTAATTGTTCTGCTACTTTAAAAAGTCTTTGTAGGAGGACACAGTGAAAAAATCTTCAGTTTGGATTATTGTCGTCGTTAAAATTGCACCTGTTTTTATGATCGAACAAACAAAGTAAAACAAATAAGTAAATAAAGGAAACAAACAAGACAAGCCAATTTTCCCGGTCTTCGTGATGTGTTGGGGGGTTTGTATGGTGTTTTCCAAGAGAAAGCTTTCACTCGAATTGGAGCAACAGGTCTAAAGTCGTGTTTGTCGAATTAATTTATTTACATCTCTTTAATTATCACCTCACCTATTTGTTATTTACGTTTTCAGCTTTTGTTATTGTTTAAAAAGAGAGAAAAAATGTTTCCTTAATGACGATATCAGACTAGGAAGATTCGGAGTCGATTGTCATGTTTTCCACGAAGGCGAGGTGGGCATCATACAGATCGTTTTCCTTGTCAACGAAGGCGCCTTGATAACAGCCACTACTGATGACAGTGTTCACCTTTGGAATTTCAGACAGAAAAGGCCGGACCTCGTCCATAGTCTTCAATTTCAAAGAGAAAGGTACATAAATGAACCCGAGACTTGTCCTTTAGTCGCCACCTGGTTTTAATTATCCTTGAATTTGTGCAGGAAAAAATTGTGTTTACATTCTGTTCTCCTGTTACAGAATAACGTGCATACACCTCCCTCTTCACAGTAAATGGCTGTACGTCGGCTCTGAAAGGGGCAATATTCACGTGGTAAATATTGAATCTTTCCAGCTCTCCGGGTACGTCATCAACTGGAACAAAGCGATCGAAGTGTAAGTGAAGCAATTTAACGCTTAAAAATCCAGGGCCCCGAAAGCTGGACTTTTTAAATTTACGAATCGATCGGATGGAAGAGGGTTTGCCCTAAAAAGGCAATTAGCTTGCAGATTGCAATCGTTCGCCGAAGGACTGCTAACTCGAAACAAAACACCTTTTGTAATTTAAAGGTTCCTGAATCAGCAGTTTGTGCCACCTCATTACTCCATCGATTATCCTAGAGTATATATTTACTCTTTGATTAACAAACTTCCAACCAAGAGAAGGAATATATATTGTCTTTATCTAACGAACTTAAATTACTATATTTTTTGCTCTTTGATAAACGTAATTAATTTGGTTGCACGTCCTTTAAGTCGGTAAATATTTAAAGAAAACATTAAAGAACAACAATTAAGCACAAAAGTAGTTTAATCATAATGGCTGTAAGTTTCGCTGGTGGTAACAGAAAGTTATTAAGGTTTTTAAAAAGTCGCAAAATACTGGTTAATCAAATTTCTTATACTTACTTTTTTGCTCATTTCTAATTTTGTGAATTTAATGCCGGTATGATGACTGTTGATGACTTTCTCTAAATACTTTCTGAATCAAATTGAATTTTCTCAATTAGAATTGAATTTTTCCAAATTAAAATTAACTTGTTTCAAATCAAAATGACCTTATTTTTCAAATCACGTTGACTTTTTATCCATATCAAATTGGAATTTTTCGAAATCAAGTTTAACTTTTTCCAAAATGAACGTTGGCTGGTTTCTAATCAAATCGGACAAATTTGAAATCAATGGAACTTTTCCTAATCAAATCGATCTTTTTTCAAACCTTTTAAGAACGAAAATTTTCCCGACTCAGTTGAACTTTCCAGATAAATCAAATAAATTCAATTCGAACTTTCTCCAAATAAAGCTGGACTTTTTTCTTAGTCCAGATCAAATGGAAAATTGTCTAAATCAAATTGAATTTTTCCAAATAACTTTTTACAAATCAAATATAATTTTCTAAATTGTAATAGACTTTTTTCAAAATGCAATTGAACGATTTTCCATTCAAATTGATATTTTTCTGAACGAATTTGTACTTGGTCCAAATCAAGTTAGACGTTTTTCTAATAAAATTTTGCCAATAAAATTAACATTTTTATAATCAAATAGAAATTTTCTTAAACAATTTTTTTAAAGACCTTTTCCAAATCTATTCAAACTTTCTCCAATAAAGCTGGACTTTTATTTACTCCAGATCAAATGGAAAATTGTCTAAATCAAATTCGAGTTTTTCAAATCAAGTCGAAAATTTTATAAATCATATCTAACTTTCTCTAAATAAATTAATTGTCTTCAAATGTAATCGAAGTTTTTACAAAATAAAATTGATCATTTTCTAAATGAATTTGTACTTTTTCAAAATCAATTTGAACATTTTCCCAATCCATTCCGATTGAATTTTTCCTAATCAAATTAAACATTTTCCTAATCAATTGATTTTTTTCTGAATCAAATCGGACATTTTTCCAATCAAATTGAATTTTTTCCAAATCAAACAGAACTTTTTCCCTAATCAAATTGAACTATTTCCAAATCAAGCTGAACTTTTTCCAAAATTAAATTGAACATTTTCCCGTTCCAATTAGATTTTTTTTTTATAAAAAATTTTCCTAACCAAGTTGAACTTTTTCTTAACCAAGTTGGGCTGTTTACAAATCAAATTAACTTTTGCTTAATGAATTTGAGCTTTTTCTTATCAAATTGAACTTTTTCCACATCAAGCTAAACTTTTCCCAAAACCAAATTGAACTTTTTCTTAATAAATTCGGACGTTTTCCAAATCAAATTGAATATTTTTAAAATCAAATTGATCATTTTTTTAAACAAATTGAACGTTTTCTCATTAAATTGAACATGTTTTAAAATCAAATTAAGCATTTTCCAAAATCAAATTAAACATATTCCAAATAAAATTAGTCCTTTGCCCAAATAATTTTCCAATACAATCGAACTCTTTTTGGGGAGAACCTAAAGGAAGTTGGGTTTAAGCACCATATACCCCAAAATAACCACATTTCAGTTCAGTTAGGCACTCGGTACAATAATGATACTTTAATGTATTTTTAACTTTTACAAATTTACAGATTTTATTTTATTACCCACTCTATTCCATAGGCAGAGACAACCAAAAATACACTTACTTTTTGCGAAAATGTGTTTTTGGTTGTCTCCATCTAAAGAGTAGGATGGGTAATAAGATAAAATGTGTCAATTTGTATAACAACCTGTTAAAGTAAAATAAGAATAACAATATTCTCAAGTTATGATATTACAGTTTTTTATGATTTACAAATTTACGTTAAATTAAGATTTTTAAACAAATTAAAACTATCTACTTGTTATTTAGAGATCGTGAGATGCGGTCTGTGTGATGTAGATTGAGAAAAACATTTTCTTTATCGTGCCAACGTTTCAACCTTTATTGAGATCATCTTCAGGGCCTGGGATTTATAAACATTGTTTAAATTATACAAATTTATATAAATGTATTTGTATTAATTAATAATTATATTTATATTTTTTTAATATTTAGACCTAGAAAAGAATTTTTTTGAGTCGGAGTTCATCTAAGCATCTAAGGGGTGTTTTTATTACGCATTTTGACGTTGTAGATAATTTTAATTGTTAATATTTTTTTATTTAAATTAAACTTGTCAAAGTTAAAGTCTGTTTTGTATATTATTTATATAAAAAATGCTAGAAAATGATTTTTGTTTACCTATTTAGTATCCCAGCTGAAAAAGTTGAATACGAAATAGAAAAAGTTGAATTAGAAAAAAATGAAAATAATTTGTTTTATAAAAGGTTGAATTTGCCTAGGAAAAAGTTGTTTGATTTGGAAAAAATTGTATTTGGCAATAAAAAATTATATATGCAATTTGGAATATTGTTAATTTATTTAAAATTATTTTCATATTTTTATTGTAATTAAAAAATTATTAATAGGTTTTTGGTACAGTGCCATACAGGGTAGTTTTATTATTTTTAGTAATTTTTGTTTCTACTTATTTAGAAAAGCTATATCACTACCCTCACTACTTATAAAGACTACATTTCATCATAATTTTTCTGTCGAACCAATGTGGTTAGGCTATTTCGTAGTTTAAAAAAAAAATTAAGCAAAATTTAATTAAGTATAATAAATAAATAAAAATGGCATTGATTATGACATAATTGTCAAAATGTATACCTTCTAAATATGCCTCCGACAACAAATTAATAACAATTATCAAGACAGTTGTTGTTATTAGCAGTACTTTAATTGATAAATGTAAACAGAATACTCTTGATTATTTCAACATTCCATCGAATGTTTGTTTTCTATAAACCCATTCTACTGTGGAATAGATAAACACAATTAATAATGATAAACAATAAATTGATGGAATGGATCTCTTGTATAAAGTTCATTTTGAATTGATGAAGTTTATTCTTTGACTTAGGTCACGCAAAACACACCCTGGAGCTGTTGTGCACTTAAGTGATAACCCTTTAGATTCGAGTAAGGTATGTCAAAATTAAATTGTACTGTATAAAAATGAGGATTGAGGACTTATTAAATTACACAAAAAAATTTTCAGTTACTTATTGCTTTTGAAAGTGGGCAGCTGGTCCTTTGGGATCTTAGAATGAAAGTAGCAGAAGCAAGATGGCAATCAAGCGAACCTCTAAAATCTGTAATATGGCACCACGATGGCAAACAGTTCATGACCTCACACACAGACGGCACCTTACAGACCTGGAACATTCGACAATTTGGCAAACCTGTCAATATCCTGCAACCGCACGGTATCTGATTAAAAGCAATTTTTTTTTGTGTGTTAAGTACTATAGTGTAAATGAATTGTTATAGCAAAAATTGGAAAGGATGGTAAACCCGAATCTTGCAAAGCGATTCAAAAAGTAGAATGGAAAGCTGCGAGAAGCGGGTATGCTTAGCTCTATTCAATTAATTATTTATATATTTGATCTCAATCTTTCTTCCTTTTATATTCTAGAGAAACATTTGTAATATTCTGTGGTGGCTTGACTTATGACAAAGCCGGAAGGTCACCAAGCATAACTATTATGCATGGTAAAGCTACAACTGTGTTAGAAATGGAGCACAATGTTATTGATTTTATTACATTGTGTGAAAGCCCATATGCAAGTGGTAAGTTTTTATTGGTTTAAATATAATACAAGTTACTCAAAACAGGGTTAAAACCCTTGACTTGTCTTGTAATTTTTATTTTAAAATTTGCTAGATATTCCAGAGCCGTATGCTATAGTTGTCGTACTTCAGAATGACCTTGTCGTCATTGACCTCCTCAGTCCAGGCTTTCCGTGTTTTGAAAGTCCTCACCCAATGGATGTACACGAATGTCCAGTGACTTGTTGCACATATCTTGCTGACTGTCCTTCAGATCTGATACCTGCTTTCTACTCCATTGGGTCACGATCTTCAAAACGGACGGGATTTAGTGATAAAGAATGGCCACTTGCCGGAGGAGAATGGACGACTCCACCTTGTAGTTATAGTGAAATAATTATTACTGGGTAATTATTACAATTTTTTTTTTGAAATTGAAAAGGTTTTTTACAAATGGTATATTTAAATGGTTCAATTTTGAATTAGACATGCGGATGGGAGTATAAAATTTTGGGATGCGTCGTGTGGTACTCTTCAGGTTTTGTACAAAGTAAAAACAAATAAAGTATTTGAAAGGCCGCAGAGCAAATCACAAGATGGTAACGATGACGACCCTTTTGCCATTCAACTCTTGTCGCTCTGTCCTGAATCAAGAAAATTGTGTATCGCCGGTGCAGCTGGTTATGTGATTCTTTTCAAGTTTAAAAAACAAGAATCGTCTTCTGAAACAGCGGTAACTTTCATTATGCTTAATCTCACACTTAAATAGATTAAGATTAATGGGCTGATTCCACTGCGGACTTTTGTAGGTTTTGGACATCCCGATTGTCTACGAGGCCTTTGATGAGCTAGAATGTTCACCAGAAACTGATTATTCAAGGAGTAACCTAAACAAAATTGACTCTGGGGATAATAAGGTCTTTATTTTCGTAAAATCGTTGTAGACTATTGTTAAACATAATATTTATGTTTAAAAAAAATTAGATTTTTGGAGCGGATACAGGAACACCAATAAAAGTAAAACCAGGCCTACAGAAAAAACCCCCAGGCTTTCAGGCTACATTAGTCTGTATTTCTCCAGCACCTATAACATCTCTGGGTATCAACTCTTCATACGGGCTGTGAGTGTTACAGTATAATAAAAGAAAAACATTCAAGATATATTTTTAATAATCATTTAACCCTAATAATATAAATTATTAAACATTCCACTTATTAACACAACTTTTTTTTTGTTTTGTTTTTTTTTAAATTGAAGGATGGCTTATGGAACAGATACTGGAGCTGTAGTAGTGGACATTGTGCATAAAATATGTTTGTTGAATGTTGCTACGCCAGACCTGTACGGAGGCGCTGATCCCTATCAGCGAGTACCAAAGTCACCAAAAAGAAGTCAGCCACCAGACTCAGACCCAGACAGGTGTAGGTCACCAAGTATAGATCAGGTAACCATTTTGATTTTGATTACTATGCATTTTAAAAAATAATTTAAAAAAAAATTGTAATGGATAAAACTGCAATGAAACGAAATAAGTGAAATCAAAGGTCCAAATTAAAAACCCCATTATAATCTGACCAACTAGAATAAAATTTGAAGAGGCTTGACTTCCCTTCTCAAGATCAAAACACTAACACTCATACCTTTTGTCATTTGGTGACTTGCTTTATTTGATTTTTGTTTTCTTTTTAATTTTTTATTCTCTTTTATTTGATCGTTTTTAATTTTTGTTTTTATTTTATTTATGTGTACCATAAATGTATATTTGAAAGGGTGTTGAAGTTGAAGAAAACATATCAGGAAATACTTCACCACACGAAGATGCCGAGACTGAACCAAGAAGGCGCAAGTTTAATCTGAAAAAGCAGCTCAGCCGGGTCGATCTAAAGCTGAAGTTCCAGCCGAGAAACAACAAAAGATCGTGTTCAGTCTTTTACGCAGAAAAAGATTCAGCCGATGAGAGCCCCACTAGTCTGAGCCCGGACGACGATATGCCTACGATCAAAGAGCCGGAGACGGATGAAAAGCCGGCCGTGAGACCTTCCGATCTTGCCTTGTTTGAAGAACGGCCCATTCCGCCTCCGAGGAGGGAGAAAAAAGACAAGGAAATGCCTAAACGAGACACAAGACTATTATCGGTCCCAAATATTAAGTATCATCCGAGGATAAACCAAGGCAGATCAGCAATGATACGCAAAATAAGTAAGTGAATACTTGGAAAAAAAACTGATAATGAAAAATCCAAAAATCAATTATAACTAGAAAAACATTAATTATTGTTTGAGCTGTATGGCGTATGGTTCTGACTTACTTTCATCTAGAGAATATTATGGATAAAAAAAATGGGCTTTAGAACAAATGCTACATAATTATTTAAAAAACTGTTTCTTCTATTTTAAAACTTCAAGCTCAAACTTTATTTGTGTTTCTTGCTACGGAACTTTTCAGTTACCTTTGTTCTTTTTATATTTTTATATGCGCAGTTTTAGGTAGAAAAAAAACAATATCATTTGATACACAATTAATGCTGTTGTTTTGACTAGTTATTCATATGACAGCATGTGCATATTATTAAATTAAATACGTCTTAGATGTTTTGTTTCAAAAAAAAAGAAAAAAAAAGTGTTTGTTTAGTAAGTGAATTTTCTCATTTCAGTGGGGTGTTATATCATAAGTAATATAGATTTTCAAATTATTATAGAATGCCATGAAAATGATCTCAATAATTTAAAATTGTTAATATTAATTTATGTAGTGATTAAAATTGCATTAGGCTTGTTTATTTACGAACTCGACTTTTATCAAATTCCCTTCCATTTTTCAAAATGTGTGCTGTTTTATTGCAACTAGCTGCAGTTCAGTCTTTGATTCTGCTAGGTGGACTGAATTTTTCAGATAAAACATTCAACTGTCGGTTCAATAAGTCCGTATGGTTTTTTAATGGTAAATTCATTGAAAATCTCAGATATTTGAGAACAGATTTTATCGACAATATATGTAAATTGTTTTGTTCCATTACCTGTTGCCATCTAATTTTGCAATCTCGTCCTCCCAGAACTTCTCAAGTTTTTAAGCCTTGAACAATGTTTTCCTTTAAGTCTTACCCATTAATAGTGTTTTACAAAGCCTGGAATAAGTGAAAATCAGAAGGGGCAATGTCAAGCAAAGGTTTTGATAGTACAACCTAGGCAAGCTCCAACAATTTTTTTTTTTCATCTGCAATGACCTGTGTGAGTTATCCTGGTGGAAAACAAATCCCCTTCCTAGTAGCCAATACAGTTCATTTTACGTTAATTTTAGACTTTAATCCAATTGTGTGTGATATATACTAGAATTGTTTGATTGGGTGGAAGAAGAAAAATTCCCACCAAATGGGATGTAATATAATTTTTGGAGTTGTTAACAATAGGGCCACGTTTGGATTATTTGTAATAGAAGTTTGAATTTGGAATTTAACAATTGAAGGGCAATCTGACTGCTAGGCGTATTCCTTATCAAAATTTCTGCTTCTGAACTTACCAAACTACCGGGCTTTCTCCTAAAACATCAACACATATTTTCACATATAGCAGCATGAGTTGTGGTTTTCTTTTTGTGGTAATAAAAAAAAATTATAAAATATTATACTTTCCTTAATTTTAAATTAGCAAAACTTTGTAAAAATACGAGATCTCAAATAAAACTGGCGAATAAATAGAATTGATTTATTGAAAAAAAACACTATGGACTTTTACAACCCAACACATATTAAAATGCTACCTTTTCTTGTTAGTTTTTTAGGAAAATTTTTTGGTTGAATGGATGCATATTAAACTAATATTTTAAGCTCTTCATGATTCTTCTCTTGATATACAGTAGAACTTCTAACAATTTATATTTCTAAATATGTTAATTTAATTAACAAAAGTTATTAAATTGAATAAATTTATTAGGGGACCGCGGTAGCCGAGTGGTTAGCATGAGAGACTCACGCCGCGGTCGTGGGTTCGATTCCCACCGTCGCCTCTGGCCCTTTTTTCACAATAACCCCCCCTCAAATTTGAATACACATATATGAATTGTCACATGGCTAATATGCATAGTTCATAATGCCAGAAAAAATAAAAAATAAAAATAAATAAATTTATTATAACTTTCAGTGTTTTTAAAATTAAATTAAACCATTAAAATAATTAATTCACTACTTTCGTGGTCCGCTTGACCAATTAATACATGACAATTAATTAAGGTTTTTAGTTGAGATGAAAAAAAAAGCTAATAGCACGAGAGGGATTCAAACCCACGTCCTTCGGCTAGATACGCAGCTGCTCTACCACCTGAGCTATCGTGACCTCGATCCACTCGGACATCAACTCCCCATCTCAACTCCACCTAATGAGTTTTCCCTCCTTTTGCCAGGTAGAGCAGCGGCGTATGTAGCCGAAGGTCGTGGGTTCGAATCCCTCTCGTGCCATTAGCTTTTTTTCATCTCAACTAAAAACCTTAATTAATAGTCATGTATTAATTGGTCAAGCGGACCACGAAAGTAGTGAATTAATGATTTAAAAATGAAGTACACTTCACTAAAGCTCTCCGTCGCCATTTCAATTGTCGTCGAGAATCCAATCCGATTACAGATTACATGACATTTGAAAAATGGCAAAAGGAGGGAAAACTCATAAAGTGGGGTTGAGATAGGAAGTTAGTGTCCAAGTGGATCGAGGTCACGATAGCTCAGGTGGTAGAGCAGCGGCATATCTAGCCGAAGGTTGTGGGTTCGAATCCCTCTCGTGCCATTAACTTTTTTTCATCTCAACTAAAAACCTTAATTGTCATTAAAATAATGATCAAGAATTGAAGAGTATTTAGTTTTTAAACTTGAGTTAACTTCCCTGTCACTCGAGCTGATTGTAAACCTGGGTTTTCATTGCGCAAAAAAAATCACACGACAATTACTCGTGAAATGCCATCTTGGGTTAACTATTTCCACAAGACGAAACTTTTCGCAACATCAGTTTGTGTGAGCCAAGTTTGCCTACACCAACTGCTGCATGGCGATACTTTTTGTTATATTTTTTTTGTCTTTGACCCATTTTGATGTTCACTTTCTTCCACACATCCTCTCTCTTGTTCTTGTTACGATTAATTTAACTCTAGTATCTCACAGAAATCGATAGCTGTGATACATGCGGATAAGTTGAATGCAGTCCACCTGGTTCATTTTCATACTCAAGAAAAGTGCGTTTACACAGAGAGAAACAAACATTGCAAAACACTTTGATTCGTACTAAAAAACTGACAGCCAGTCGATTCACCCTAAAACATCCTCGCACCAAAAATTTCGCAGTCCTGACTAGGTATACACAACGCAAGACAATTTTCACGAAATATTTGCACGAGTGATTTTCACGCAGTGTAAACCCAGCTTTAAGGATTGATGTTTATAACTATTTCTATAAAAATGTTCATAGTGAAAGGTTTATGTATTTTTCATATTTTTATACAACAAAAAATGATCACAATTCTGAATTTATTATTATAAGAGCATGATTAAATATATTAAAATAAAGAATTTACTGTATTTTGCAGTTGGCAGGTAGCTTCGTACAAATGGTGACAAAATATAATAACAATAGCAAAACTTAATAATTATGATATGAACCGAGTTGCAAACATGTCACAGTAGTCTTAATGATATGATAGAGCTATGTGAATATTACCACCTACAAAAAGCAGAAACGAGGAATAATATGCACTAATAGTTTAGTTCATTGCATTTAGATCACAAAAAAATCTTTCAAAATCAGACAAAAAAGCTTGTATTAGTTTAATTGATGATTTTCATATGGCAGATTTTTCCGATTAAAAAAAATTGAATCAAAATTAAATCCAGCAAGAAATTAGAGCTTGATTGTACTTAGTCAATTAAACATTTTTATCCATAATAACCTCTCCATCCAGAGTAGGTTTACAAAAATTGTGTTAGTATCAGTTTTTAGGGTGTTTTGTTTACAGTAAGCAAATTTTTTAAAAATATTGCTTGTACAAAACACTCTAATAAATGCAGTTCAAAGATTTAGCCGCACTTATTTTTTATAGTTCAAGAACAAAATGATTCTATTAAAAATGCACTAATACTCGAGGTGTCGGTCTAACACAATTTAGTATGCATGTAATACAATATGCATGTTGGGTTTTATTTCTAAAATTTTAAAAAACCAAATTATATAAATAATCCAATGAAAGGTTGTTAACATTGTTTTAAATAAAAGCTGTTGAGTATCAAAATATATCGATTATAGAGAAATTTGTTTGCTTTTTTAGATCAATTTATTTTTGATAAAATTAATGAGTAGTTCGTCTTGAAGCCCAGTAGTGGAGAAAGGAAAAGTAGATGGTTATTATTTATGTTTTAGGGTGATTTTTACAGTAGATTCATGTAGTTAAAACACACGATTAAATCACATTGCTTATTTATTTTATTTTTAAACATTTTTATTATCATCATTTCATTCATTTATTTATTTACACACAATGTGTTAAGAATAACGACAAAGAGTTAACAATATTTTTATCGCAAAATTTCTTCGTTAAATTATTTTCCATTCTTTTCGATGATTGTTGTATAAAAAAATCTGTGCATTCTTTTAAATCTGTTACATGTAAAACAGCATGAAATGTGTACATTTCAATTTATTGCTCACTTTTCATCGCTTATGGTAACATGAAAATTAATAGAATTAACCTTGCTATGTAATTGACATAATTATCACATTGTAATTTTTACAGTAATTAATTTCAGTTTTATTTTTCACATTTAAAATGATTGTGACAGCTTGTTTCTCTGAATTTGATTGTTTTGCCTAATCATCTCAGGAGTGAAGTCGACCAGACCCTCCCTGTATTCCGGTTTACGTCCGACTTTTTTTCAATACTTTATATGTTTTATGTGTATATATTTGGCACTGGATATTTTTACTGTCTTCTGTGTGTTACTTATTCTAGAAATTGTTTATTGGCAAATATGCATTACCATTGTTATTTCCATTGTGAACAGGTCTGGTTAATATTGAACAGTAAAAGATAAACGGTTTCTGTTTTTGTTCTAGAAATTTATTTTACTTACGAGAAACTTACAAACGATCTATTACTAATACTATACTAGTTATGTGTATGTAGTGTAATGTTTTTAACCTTGATATTTTGGGACGGAACAAGCAATT